AAAGTGGCATAGTGATTGGAGATGTTGACCTACAGCATCACGGGATGACTCCAGTGAAATGGTATTCTCCACCTTGTCCGTTCTGTTCAGCTGGGCATGACTTCAACTGGATGGAGTGGAACTCCTTGGAACTGCTACACCGGCCAGTTGAAACTGCATGGCTTATGACCCCATACCACAGGGAGAGCGAAAACAGCGAACATCGGACGCTACTCCAACAAGTGGCAACCTCCATACGAAGCTGCCGCTCCTTCCATCAAACACTACTCCAGGAACAAAAGTGTGCCTTAAATCATTGAAATCCTGATATTTGCGCAGATAATTCCTATCAAACATGCAAGTTGTTACATCCCACCACACACAAGCAATCACATCTGCCAAACTTCTTAGATAGCAACTGCTGGTGAGAAAAAGAAAGCGAAGGTGAGAAGCATGAGCCTTCCTGTGCACCGGACATTCTTCTTCGCTCTTCTTCAGCTGCTTCTGCTGTTGCTTCGCCTGCGCCTGCTGCGCCTGCTGCGTCTGCTGCGCCTGCTGCGCCTGCTGCGCCTGCTGCGCCTCGGCAGATCGTGATTTCTCGACCGCCATGGGTCTCGACCGCCAGGTGGGTTCTGAGGTTGTTCAATTCCAAGGAGCCAGAGTGAGTTCTGTCTTGCCTTTAGCGCATGAATGCTATCTGCTGTGCATCAGTTTGCGATCTGTTTCCTGAGATTTACCAAAATACTTGACTGGAAGACAAAGCAATCGAACACCTAGGCCGACAAAAATCACATATCCATGAATCCGTCCTGGAGTATACAAACATACATATTGTACTTAGATGTCTTGAAGTTCCATGAAGTCCCCAGTCGAACCTGCTTTCAACGTCAAAATTTGTCCTTGGGAGTAAACTGAGTAAACCTGTTTATTATTGTGACATTCTTGTATTTTTGATTCTATATTGTAATCACTTTACATCTAGCCCAGGGGATGGATGATGGATGTGTTTGAGTTTAACCAGCTGTGTGACATGATGACACACGAACATCGGACTGACTGGCAGCTGGGCGTCGGGTTTTTCACAGCGGCCACGCGGGGTTTTTACAAGATTGCCACCAGCTGGCAGTGAAATCCTCTGGTTTCAACAAGTCCTTGAGTTGGATGACAGCCGTCCATCCCAAAATGTCCAAAAGGTCACCAGTAACATCCAGAAGCCAGAAGACACTTAAACAAACAATAATCAATAAACATATCACAAGTAGTTATGTACAAGATTGGGAAGTTTTGTCTGCGCCGAATTCATAGTCACGCGATTCATAATCACTCGCCGCCGCACGCCTCGTCTTGGCTTCGCAGCTGCGCAGACCTGGAGCTGCGCAGATCGTTTCGAACGAGGCAGAATTTGGAAGCCCGGGAGAATCTGAAGGAGTTCTTACCCGTTGGTATTTGGTGTTCTAACTATCATCATGATGACGGAATTCTCGGAGATTACGAGAGGACTTGGAAAGACTTCCTGCGAGTCGATTCGTTTTGGAGAATGATATTCTGACTTCGTCAGCGTAAAGTATTGTGCAGCAGCTGCAAATCAACCTTCGAGCAACCAAGCAACAAACCTGTCAACCAAGTGAACCAATCGCATCAACCATACAAGCTCAACAACAAACTAAGGTATGCCCTCAACCACCCTAATCGACCGTGTCTTACCCAAAAAACATGTAAAATATGACTCGTCGTCCTGTCGTGCACTCCGTCTCTGTCTTCTGGCACCCCCCCGACAGCTGCTGATTCCGTTGCTCCACGTCGTCCAGGGCTGCTTGAAGCTTCTGGAGCTGAAGGGTATAAGCCTCTCGGACATTCCATGGTTTAAACAATCCATGTACGACCTATTTACCGGGGTCAATGTAGGCATATATGCCATACATGGATGGTCTTGGATGGTAAAAACATCGGAGCTGGCAACTTAGCCGACCCTTCAAGAAGCTGCAAGCTAAGCAATGGTGGATCGTTGTTGCCATGGACAAGTACCTGTACATAGGTCGACCTGACCTGTTTTCACCCGAAGCAACAAGGTGCAGTGGGTGGAGTGAAACAACAAGACTGGGAGATTTCCAAGGAGCAGTAGAGTCCGAAATTGTTGGATATCTTCCCAAGTGTTCAAATAGGTACAATCCAAACTTGTTGGATTTCCTAGTATGGCAAAGCAACATAGGGTACATATGGGTACATCCACCAGTGAGTTCAGGTAAGTTCACGTAAAGACTTGCCCCTCCACGGAGAACCGAACCAACCAATTTCACACCGTAGGCGATGGAGGCGATCGAGACACTGAAACAGCACAGCTTGAGTGTCTCTCAGATTTGCCGCTCGGCCCAAGGCTATTGCTCAACCATTGGCAACAGGCTTCTTCCCGATGGTGGCAACGGTTGCTGCACCGCCCATGAAGCCAGGCTTGGAGATGCAGGGGATCCACGACCATCTTTGCGATTCCTGCGAACTGAAGTAGAGAAGAAATCGCACAGATCCAAGTCGATCTAGAACCTCATCCGATCTTTTGATATCGACATCTGTTTCGACTCACCATATCTGGCTGTCAGCCAGAAAGACCAGGAACCAGCATCAAAAAAAGGAGAAGGAACATGCAGGAACTAAAGGCCAAGAACTGTGGGTCATTCAAAGAGGTTCATCCAAGGGCTGCGTTTTCCAGAAACACCCAGTGAAGGCCAATTCTTGAGGTGTTCCTTCTAATATATAAGCATGTTGCAAAGCTTGAAGACATCGTAGGGCCGCTAAGCGGACCTCTATATCAGCAAAAGATGTTCAAGGTCACTGCCGAAGTAGGACCTGTAGGCTGCTGCCAATAGGATCGAACCATCTCCCCATAGGGTCGCTCTTGCAGCCCAGGACAGGATCAAAGTCTGAGTCTGATTCTTCTTTTCCAAGTCTTGCAAGACTTGCGTGTGACATGCGATTTCTTCTCCGCTCAGCTCAAGTTTCCAAAGCTTCAGCTGTTTCTGCAACTCCAACGCGTCCAAAGTGGAGGACCACTTATCCAGCCGAGACGGGAGCTGAGAAGCCTGCGATCCACGAAAACGCTGATCCCAACGGAGCTCGACCACCATGCCGTGTGGATCAGGGTTTTGGCCCGGAAGCGAGTGGTGAAGACCATGGAAATGCACAAGACATGAAATGAGACCCAGTTCAACGTTGTAACAGGTTGGGGCGATCCGAAGCTTGACTTCTTGCCCCTGACGTGTCCAAAGCTCAGCAAATGCAGCTGTTGTCTGCTCTTCATCACGTTCAAATTAAAGGTGACGCACAAGTGATCAGTCGTGCACAAGAGCTCGAATGCCTTCGCTTCAACGTTGCGAAGCTTCTTCGACAGGCCCACGGACCGGAACAGTCCAAATATGCTTGTTCATCTTCGACAGCACCAGGATGGTAGTGATTTAATACGTTTTTAAGTTCAAACATGTATGCATGGGGCTGGTCCTGATTGGTCTGTCATCCTGCTGCAAGCTTCTGCGTTTTGGAGGCCTTTGAGGACTCCAGGAGGGTACTGCGATAGCCTCCAAAGCATCGAGAACAAGACGCGGCAAAGATGTTAGGAAGCTGCATCTTGAGATCTGACCAAGCTCTGTCAGGTCGTCCGCGTCTTTTCTTTCCTGGCATCTAACATGCTTTGCATCATCTTTCACCGGAATCATGTGTTGCATGCTGTCGCGAACACACATTCGACTGAAATTGCGACGCCCTTTTTTAAGGCTCACAAGGACAAGCTGCAAGACAAGCTGCGAAGAGTTGATGCAAAGCATCCCCTCGAGAAGTGCTGAAATTGCCTCGAGATGGTAGTAGAGATGTTGAGATGAGTTCGCCATTTTCTGCGGGGAAAATGCTTTCCACCAGCCAATTATCTCGCGCCGGAGGCTGCACAAGCATGGAGGGCCAGCGTTGTACATTCCACCTCTGTCTTGACTTGTGCCCATATGCGCCCCCATTGAGAGAGTCACCATGACTCCACGAAGTGGACGCGGGCCGCATCGAAAAACCCTGAGAACCGGGCGCTGCATCTAAAGCACACAGAGCTTCAAAAAGCGCACAGAAAAAAATAAATCAAAACACATATTGGGCTGCCTACCTTCAAGATTCAAAACTCCAATACAAAACATGAATTCTCAGGCCATTGAACGCCATGCTTTCCATTCCAAATGTGCAATGTTCTGGGTCCAAGGTGGACTAGGAATTCTTGATGGCGTCCTGCGTAAGGTCCAAAAGGTTTGGAGCAAACACAAGGATCACTATGTGTCACTAAGGCATTGATTGATGTGCAAGAAAAGAGTCAAAACGATGCACTCGATGGCCCTAATAAAGCAATCGAAGAAAGCAAGGGGGGTTTAACGAGGGTTTCAAACGCAATGATCTATCTGTCCACAAGAGCGAATCATCTGGTAAAATCGCATGTCTGGCACTTGGGACTTGAGTAACTTTTGAGTGACTTGAGTGGGTGGAATCCAAACGTGTGGAAATTGTAAGTTACCAGTTGAACTTGAGCTTTTCAGCATTTGGAGGCGCTTTGGCAATGATCCGACGCACATGGCAAGCAAAAGGTGATAAAGTCCCGCATGGCAGGAGGACTCTTCCGAAATCTCTCCTGAGAAACCAGGCATTTGGAGTGGTCCTTCCAACGGCATAAACAGTGCTTCAAGTTTCAATGCCCATGTTGAGTGGGTCTTCAAACAAACGATATTGAACAGGTGGCGGACATGTTGAGATGAGGCCATGTTGAACGGTACAAGTCGCTGCCGATCACGTTTCTGTCTATTTGGATTAAGTTAGTCTCTTCTCCACCGTGGATGTTCCTTTCATTGGCTCTCAGGACAAAACCTGGCAACAAACACATGGCTCTCAGAAGGATTCCAAAGCCGCTCAGCCGCCGCACACACTTTTCCGGCCCAACGCGCGTCCGGCAATCCACGAACTCAGTGCCCGCAGGGATGCGCCACTGGCTCGAGCAGCCTGGAGATGTGAGAGCCGACCGGTCATTCCATGCGGGGTCGGAGGCTAGACCGAGATGCAACGAAGTGAGGCAACAGTTTTCAAGCTATCTCTATTTACAAGTCTTCCTTGAAACTGTTCCCAGTTCACCACGGCGTCCTGTTTGGTACAAATTCAACCGTTGACCGTCCTTCGTCCTCACCACCCGATCTCGCCCGGTCCGGTCGGTCGCTCCGCACCGGAGGCCCGAGCCGACAGTCACAGCGATGAACGAATGAAGGCCTCTCAGGCCTCGAACAAACCGACCGGGAAAGAGAGGACCAGGTTCAGGTTCAGTTCCAAGACGACATCAAAAGAAGGTAGTTTGATGATGATCTCATGTAGGTCATATATATATATATATATAGACTCTTGATGAACATGTTTGCTGCTCTTGGCAAACAACATGAAGACCAATGGAAAACGTTTGAACAGGGTGTGAAATGATTGGTCTGTGTCTACAATACAACATCCAGGAGATATCCTCGACTCAATCGACGAGGTCTGGAGCAAAGTGTCTGACGCGGCATGGAATGCGTCTAAGGCAGAGCAGAATGGATGTAAGGCTGGCCAAATACTTTGGTTTGAAAGTCCGTCCGCTATTTTACTGAGCTAGAACTGCCACCCGAGAACTGTGACCTCGGTCGCACCTGCGCGATGCCACAGCTATGCTGCCTGCATAGCTTTTCGCCATCATGAGTTGATGAGTTCACTGAGCAAAGCTTCAACCAAAACTGTTGGCAAGGAACCAGGTCGGTGAAAAATGGGACAATGTCAAGATACCCAAGGAGAGTATTCTTCAGGCAACCATGTCCTGGAAGGCCGGAAGGAAGGGTAGAACAACAATAAACGACCACCGGGAAAACATCCATCAACCTTTGCTCACCCGTTTCGCAAGCAGGACGTTCAACCATATTTCATCATGCATTGCTATGCAGGTTTGCGAAAAAAAGGCCAGTCCCCCTGTGAAAAAGTTCCTTCGCTTCAGCAACGACATGCGGGGTGGCCATGTCAGCTGATGTTCGGACAATGACATATCGATGTCCGGCACACATACACACAACGCACACACACAGACATACACACACCCATGCGTTCACCAAAATCATGATCAGAATCCAGGAGTGTGCTCCATTGCCCATTCCCAACATGATTCATCTGTGGATTTGGACCTCTTTGGTGGTCCCACCGTGACGAAGCGTCCAGCTCGCCCTCCCACCTCGGGGGTTTGCCCAAGTGCCCTTTGCACGGCGTCCAGCTCCTCGCGAGCACGGACGCGTGAGAAGTCCTGGACGAAATGCATTAACAGAACCTGCAGGAGGAGATGCTAGCGGACCTAGCGCTTCCTGAGTTGGGTGCCCGAATTCTGGAGACCTGTATATAAGTAGTGTGGAGATGTCCAGCCTGGTGACCCCGAGCTCGGAAGCAGCTTCAAGGGATCTCTAGGGATACTGTTGACCTAAATCACCGACAGGATGTATATCTGCGCGACGGGAATCCACAATTCACCGAAGTCACACCTCGCCACCCTACGGAGAGCTTGCTTTATTTAGCCAATTACTACGTTACTATGTTTGATCTGTTAAATTTCAGTATATACATAATTATTAGGACATGCCTTGGCTTCTTTATTTGCCATTTCTGTGAGGAAGTTACAGCTATTCCTAAAATGTTTGCAGAATCTCCAGAGCTATTCCTAAAATCTCCAGAGCTATTCCTAAAATGCTTGCTGAATCTCCAGAGCTATTCCTAAAATCTCCAGAGCTATTCCTAAAATGCTTGCTGGTTTTCTAAAGCTTTCCCTAAAATATTCAGAGCTACTGAGCTATTACTAAAATTACTGCAGAATCTCCAGAGCTACTCCTACAATTATATATACATATATATATAATACTCATATATACTCCTACTGCTTCTCCTATAATACATATATATATACTTATAAATGTATACATATACACATCGATCTTTGGTACTGCTTGCCATGTTACGTTCATATATTGTCGAGCCTTTCACCTACATGACAGTAAGAGCGAGATCGTGTGGAGGAGCTGTGTTACAACAGACTCTGTTTGCTTGGAAAGGAAGCTGGACAGCTTCATGAACAGACTCGCAGTGTTGTTCTACTTGCTTGGACACCCCATCCGGTGGCTCTTTTCCTTCTGCATCGCGCTCCACGGCATCCTGCGGCAAATGACGTGCATCCGCGTCACGGTCGGTCCGTCCTCTTGCCCATGGCAGTTGGGGCAATCCGCACCTGGCCGCCGTCGGCCCCGGTGGGTCACACCCGGTCGCCTGGTGTCGAAGACAAACCTTGGGTCGAAAGCAATGCGCTTTGTGCAAAGCATCAAAAAGCATCAGACCTTGGGTGCTTTCTGTATATATGGTGTATACATATATGCACCACATAAACTCCCCAGAATGAAAGGATACGTAGTTCTGATCAGGCTAAGCAGCACATCTCTTTTCACAAACTCACCTTTGGAAGGCTTGTGGGATTCGCAGCCAGAACACCATGAGACCTATATGCATGTTGTGTCCATGAAGAAACTCTTAATCTCAGAGTGCACCCCAGACACTTTCTATCTTTGGTTAGGGGGACTTGGACGTTGCCCTTGGAGGAATGAAGTCATAATTTAGTATAAAACTACATCAAATGTTGTGCACGACCAAACTCACTTCAGTGTCTTGCAGCGTGCCTTGTGACAAGGCCTGTACCTTCAACGTGGTCCATACCTATATTAGTTTACTGCAGGAGAGTGTGAGTGTCCAACTTGCGGGACAATGCGGTACATTTTGCACAAACGCAGTGAGTCGTAAATAGACCAAAGCCACACTTGAAAGCATTGAGATGTGGGGGAATGCTCATAAGTGGTTCATACATGTTCATACTCATTGGCTGGGGTCCGACTCCGCGTAAACATAAACTAGTGATCTACTTGGAGAGACTCTTAATCATCTCTTACCGGTCTATATATATACATCAAATGACATCGTGTCATGTCACACAACAGCTGTTGAGTAAATGATGGCGACCAATATCATATCTGGGTGCATGTGACCTTCTGCCAGCTTCAATCCACAAGCACAACACCACAACCATTTGCTTGAAAACACATCTATATTGATTATATCGAATAGCATCTGTCTATCTATCCATCCATCTATCTATCTATATTGATTATATCGAATAGCATCTATCTATCTATCTATCTATCTAATCTATTTGGCCAAAAAGAATATTGTCTGAGACCATTCGTTCTGAGTTAGACCCTATGCGGACATGTTTGGACCACTATCCATCATTCCAATTGTAGCTGGCAATAGACAGACTTCCAGCTATACTTCCGCAGTGACCAGTGATCATAGTAAAACAGCGCGGCGATACTTCGGGCTCGTTCGCTGGCCCCATCACGCCCACCAGAAGCACCTTTTGTGCAGCCGCCCATATCATAGAGCTTGCAAAGCCTCAGTGAAAACTAGCCACGTATTTTGAGCAAAGGCGAAGGCACTGCAATACCTTTTGATGGGAGGGCAGCGCTGGCCAACTGATCAACTTTGGTAGCTTGCAGGGATCCCAAACCTTTTTGGACCTTCTATACATTCGCAAACTATTGAGGGATTGTACTGCTGCCAAATAATATGAGTGCTTTTCGCATGCAAAGGAACATGCTCCTTATGCTCCTTACAAATCCTGCTGACATCCTACAAGGATGAGGCAACTATCAAGTTAGTTTGTCTTTGTGTCGAAATCTGCAACATGTGCCACACACATCATGCAGGTAGCGAGAACAATGTCCATGCATTTAATTTACTGCTTGATATGCAACATGGATATATATGTATAATATGTAAATGTATATATGTATATGCATGCAGCCTCTTACTATCTCCCCAAGAGGGAAACATCAAACACGACTAAACAGGACATGGGAACATGTGATTGCTTTGGTGCATCGCTACCAGTAACAAAGAGCGTCGCTACGAACGGAGCAAGGACGCTACGAACGTAGCTCCTGGCATCGCTACTAATAACAAAGGGCATTACTACTAAGAACTAATAGCTACTAGTAACAGGGAACATGTGTTTGCTTTGTCCATGCTTGTCCTCAGGTCCCATCCCGGCCTACGAATGCGGGCATGATTTTCTTGGCGCTTCGAATGGGCCAGTCCCAAGTCGACAAGCTACAAGAGTTCCGCTGCAGGACTTTACCCGTTGATTTATCTTTAATTTGTATGCAACATTAAATATATATAATATAATATATACATATATATATATTATCATGTTATCTATGGGCGTATTTGGGAGACCCGCCACTAAAAAGGTTTTTAGTTGTATGTGGTTCCAGTGGTTGCATGGATCTTCCATCTCTTTTCGATATGGCCTTGGAAGTAGTATTTTGTATTACTAAAAACACAAGAGCTAAACATGGTGCAACATTCTCTGCGCGGAAGGGGTCACATGTGGTGCATAAACTCTGGTTTTTGTCTCAATGCTTCCCCACGGTCTAAGAGTGTTCCTCCATCTCTTCTTCCACCAGACTCAAAGGCCCAGGCTTGGGTGCTTTTGTTGCCACTGGCGCTGTCGGCTGCGTAGTGGGCGCTTCAGGCGGCTGCGCAGTGGCGCTGGGTGTGGACGTCACGGGCGCCATGGACACCGGCTGTGCCGTAGGGGCGGGCAACGCGCTGGGCGTCGCGAGCGCGGGCTCAGTTGGCGCTGTGGGCAGCACCGGGGCCAGTGTGGGGAGGCTCGCAGCCGCGTTGACTGGCATCTGTGGCAAGGGCGGGCCTCGGACAGGGGGGTGGAGGAGAGACCAAGCATTCCCCTCATTCAGCCACAACTTGATCGAGTCTGTGCAATTATAGATGTTACTATTACTATATAGATCTTACTACCTATAGGCATACCTATACAGTACCATGAACTAGGCAGTCATCCATCATCAACAGCCTTGTGATCCGCCACGTGGAAGTTGAGGCAAGGAGGCCACGGGCGGCGGTCCCCCAGGCTGCTGAGGAGCCAGTACTCGTAAGGCCTTGCGGGTAAGGCCCTTGGGGCGTACGGACAGTCCCCACATCGATTCTGAGATTGACGGGAGATTATAATGTATATATATATATGAGATAGAGACTACATACACCAGAACATGATACAACTATATACATCTTTTGTTGAACCCATGCGGAGTGTCATTCCATCGGCCTCCGAACCCCCCGATCTCTGACGTTCCATGCCGCGCCGTGACGTCCCCTTCGCCTGGAAGGCCGCGGGCAGCTCCGTGCCGGTGCAGCTGGGAAGCTCCAGCGGTGGGCCGTGCTGAAAGGGGCACAGGTCGCCCTTCCTGAGGCGGACACCGTCCGGACTGGTAGGGCGGACCGGTCGGCAGGTCCGGACTGGGTGCCCCGGCAAGCAACGGTTCTGCGCATAAAACTTGCACATCGTCGAAGAGCTGGTACCCCCTCCGGACACCTCACATTCTGAACGGCGCTTGAGAAGCTGGGCTGGAGGACAATGAGAAAAACACCGACTAGGAAGTGGTTTGAGTGGTTCCTGAAAGCAGTGACTGGTAGATTGGAGCTAGTGGCCAATATGTGTATGGCCGTCTATACCGTCTACCTACCGTGAGGACCTCCCAACTCGCAAGGACCTTCCCAGCACTGGTGGGATTGTTCCAAAACGCTGTAGACCAAAAAAAGGACAAAGCAAACCCTTCAGGACACCGCCCTGATCCTGGTGACAACAGTGTAACAGCCAGGCTAGAAGGGCAAGCTATGTGGCTATGCTACGGGGTACATCAGGATACCAACGGTATTCACACGCACTGGATATTCAGAGTCACCAGTTGAGATTATGGTTTCAAAGCACTCTACAGGTCTACCAACCTTAGACTTCACGGATGCGTGAACAATTCCGCAAAAGATTTTGAGAAACATAAAGAAATCCAGCATCAGTGCATCACTCTACCGCTTCGCAACTTCGACCCCACCCTGGACTGTGCGGACTATGGATCACAAAAGGTCTCTTTCATGCAGCTCAAAATGAAGCTTCAGCACTATTGACCCACCAAACCAACACGTTCCAAATCCCCCTTGAGACTCAGGCAAACGAAGGATACCTGGGAGAAGAACTTGAGACAGAATGTGGTGAATAGAGACCTAGCCCGACCAATCAACAGGTTCGAGAATGTTCTAAACGATCTAGTTTTTCCCATGTGTCCAACTGGGGGCAGATCAAAAGCACCAACGAAGTGGCAAAGGAAAAACACATGCGTAGACCATAATGAGACTATAGATCCTTGAACTACAAGTGGTTGTTACAAGACCTTTTGCCGACTCTCTTGGAGCTGCAACATTGAGATGGAGCGCCAACTGCTTGCTCTTTTGGACCTTTTTTGTGCATTGCTGGCCCCTCGGCAGGTGTCGGCGGCCAAACTCTGCAAGGCTCAAGTCCTACAGTAGTAGCAGTAGTAGTAGTAGTAGTAGTATATAGTAGTAGGAGCAGGAGTAGTAGCAGTAGTAGTAGGTGCTCAGTTTTTTGTTTTGTGGACAATCAGGGCCAGAGACTGGGGTCTTCCAGCTCTTGGTCCCATTATTCGTTTAACAAGGCCAGGGTTTGGCAACTGTATGCAACCACTGAAAATCCAGTAGGCATGATACTGTAACAGGTACTGGAACTAGTGCTTCAAAAAACCGCGAAACTAAATTTTTTTCTCCGGTTGGGGAAGCTTATGAGCAAGATCGGGTTCAAAACACCTTGAAATGCAACTGCTAGGTATATAAGTCATGTTATCCATCCACACTACTCTACACTTCATCCACCAATGTGAATAAACCCTCACGGGGACAAAATAGAAAAAACTCCCAAAGGTTTATCTCTGTCTAAAACGCATCCTCCGCCCATCCTACTCTCAAGATCTGAGTTCCATGCTGTGGAACTGCTGGCATCGGCATCATGCCCTGCGGACGCGCAACTAAACTAGGATTCCGTTGATGAGCCTTCTTGCAATCCATATGAACTAGGAATAACGCGCCCAAAGGAATCACCAACATGATCTCATAAGAATCCAACAATTCGAGTGGCCGAGGCTTACTTGGAGAAAGCCTTTGCGTGCTTTCAACACATATAACTACTACACATGAACACACACAAAACGCACCAAACACATGTTATTGTATGCATGCGTGCATGGATGCATGCTCCGAACCAATGCTGATCATTGTTGTCTGCCAAGAGTTTTGATCACGATCCTTCCCAAAATATGCATATATATATATAGTTTGTTGTTTTTTTAATGTATAATATATGTCCAACAAAAACGTTACATCAACGCGCAGTAACTCTCTCCAACTGCAATGTCATCAGAAAATCCAAGTATGGACGTAGTTCGATGCGACAAATGACCCATCTCCGCGTTGGAACTCCACCTGTGCCTGGAAGCCAGGATCCCAGTTGCCATCCCAGCTAGGATCCCAATTGCCATCCCAACTCCTGCGGATGGTAGGACCACGACAACATGCTACTCAGTACCCAAAGGGTTACTCCTGGAATCGACTTTTTTTTGGGTGAGTTTCGATTCTTAGACTGCAAGTCATGGTGTCCTGCATGGAAAAACGGAAAACGGATGTCTCATGGGTCTCACCGAGGCAAATTGCCATCATCTTGACATAGGAAGTTCCTTTTCCGTCTCTGTTTGATATAGGAGTTGAGACTCTGGCAGTCTTGATGACAATAACAATGGGACCCCAATGATTGACCCCTACACAAAATGTTATATAAACACGTTTCACTAGGGATGTCAAGAACTGCCATTTTTTTTGCACTCTGATGCACAGCCCATGTTGTGGGACCTGTGGGGCTTGCCCTAGCTCGCTCACCGCTGGATGGAGGCGTTGCATTGATCCTCAGCCTATTGCTGCCTTGCTTGGCACAGGAAGCGCCGCCAATCAGTCCCATCTCCCACAAGACGGGTTCTTCTCAACGATTTCAAAGTCTTCATGACCACCACAAGGCTTGTTCTCCACAAATTAGCTCTAAAACAATTGCAGTATTGAGCCTGGTCCATTATCTCTAAAGATCCCGAATGTTCAGTCACACCAGATTGAAAGAGCCATGAACATGAAGCCTAAAACGCGGGATAACGATTTAATTGAAATCATCTCTTCCACTTGAAGGTCTTCATGGATTTCCCTACATCCTACACAAGTATTACTCACTCCCTTGTCAAGCCCGACGGCTAACCAATCCAAATGCTCTGCGTCCGCATTCGGACCTGTCCTTTCTGCTTCGGCCGCCATCGCCGGCGCCTGCAGCGCCATCTCTGCCATCAGCCCTGTTGTGGGTGCTGTTGGCACCATTGGGCCCCCCCCCCACCCCCCCCATTGGCCCTCCCATCGGACCCCCCGACCCCATTGACCCTCCCATCGGCCCTCCCATTGGTCCCCCAATCGAACCTCCCATGGGGCCTGCCATCTGCCCTGCGATCGGCCCTCCCATTGGCATCGGTGCCCCCATCGGTGCTCCCATTGGCCCTCCCATTGGCGCCATCGGGCTACCCATCGGGCTACCCATCGGGCCACCCATCGGGCCTCCCATCGGGCCACCCATCGGGCCACCCATCGGGCCACCCATGGGGCTACCCATGGGGCTACCCATGGGGCCACCCATCGGGCCACCCATGCCAGGCGCTGCCATCGCCCCTGCCATGGGTGCTGCCGTGGGCGCTGCCATTGACGCCCCCATAGGTGCTGCCATTGGCGCCGCTGACCCTGACATCGGTGCCCCCATGTGTGATGGGTTGGGAGCTGTCTGTGCTGGTTCCGGAGAATGCTCCCAGGCATTGGCCTCGGAGCTCTTGCCAGAGTGGAGCTGATGTTGAGTTGGAGCAAGGACAGTTTCATTGCGAGGGGTGTTTGGCCAAACAAGTTCCACGAAAGGTTTACATATGCCGCAGTGAATTTGTGTATTCCGTTGAGCAGCAACAGTCAGATCATGGAAGGTGAAAGTAAAACAAACTTGAATGTGCAGTAACACTTTGCATGTCAATGGTCAGTGCGATTTCCAATGTACGACCTGCACAAGCTGTTGCCCAAAGACTTGGATTTGCTTAAGGAACCTGGAAATAAACATAAAGTTATATTCCCCAGAAGGGGATTTACACATGGGGAACATCAAAAAAACACCTTAAGCAAAACCAGGATGAACATCTACTGATCCTCATACCAGTGCCAGGCAATCTATCTGCGACACGGGACGACTCACAGCGGCTACACCGCTTGGGAATAATGTTGGGAATATGATGGGACCTAGCACTTCCATCAGTGCCCAACGGAGACCTGTCCATTGGACACCCATTGGATGGTCCAGGGATATGCCAAATCATCCATGGGCTGTTGTGTTTTGTGGCAAAACATTGCGTAACAGGGCTAACTTCTCTTCTCCCCAAAGCACGCTGCCTGCCCCGGACCACGCACATGCCCCGGAAACACATACTTTTGCACACCGAATTATATACAATATCTATATGCAAAAGCAAAGTATCGCTCCAAATCCAAGCATGTCCACCGCCTTCTGTTCATGTGCATCCTGCATCCTGATCACACTTGCATCTATGGAAGTATATAGGTTGGTATCCCATTGTTGTTGTATGTGTTCGCGATTCCGAAGTTTCCCGTCAATTCCACTGACTTACTGACTTATACGGTGCGCGTCTGCAAGCCCGACCCGTCAATGATAAGGTCAATAAGCCTGTTGAAGGACAAGCGTGCATTCTTTTTGGCATTGACTTGTATGGCTATTCTTCCAGCCGGCAGGCCCTTTTGTGGCCCTTTTCTGCCGAATGATTGATGAACCAAGGCGTTGCTCTTTAAAGTGGCACGCCCAGTCTACAAGGAAGACTCCAGAAGACCAAGTTGAGCAAAGGCACATTCACAAGAATGTAAGATTTCCAGCAAAGTCTCAAGATTGATCCGTATGTTGAAACAGTAAGGTTGCATATGTCCATGGAATGTTTTCCTAATCAAAGGGACAGCAAACAAGTGAAAGTGAGGTACAAGCTCACAAAAAATGTCCATCTGCCAGTCTAGGGGATGAGACTTGTGTCAACACCAAGAGCAAGGACCCTCACGTCGTGCTTTGGGGGGGAACCAAACAAATTCAACATGATTACCATACACGCATACACTCATATACACACTGCGACTCACTACAGTGGAAGTGGCTTCCAATCAGCAGAGCGTCACGCGAACCAGATAAGGAATGACAAAGGAATGACTTTTGTGCTCGTCCTCGCTGATTGGTCCAGCTTTCAAACGTGGAAGTAGCTGTCTCCGTGATTGGACCAATGATGTTCCAAGACAAAGGAACTTTATACCATTGGACAAAGAGCCATTCTACTCTATAAAGAGCCATTGGTAATGATGATGTTCTACTTTATACCAATGGCTCTTTAGTTGTACTGACAACACTTATCTGGTTTCTGCCTTGCTCTGGACCCTTTGACCTGCAAGTGATCGCCCTTCCAACTTCCTAACTTCCTCTCCCAACCGCCCCGCATTAAGTTTCCAAAAAATGCTCAACAAAAATCTAGGAACCAATTGATTGGTGCCAGGGCTTCGGGGGAGCTTCCTTGAAGAAGCTTCAGCTATCCTGCGTCCAGTTGATAGTAGCGGATTACCTATAGTAGCTTACTTTTTTAAAGTAGGCGCCTACTCAAATAAGGGCCACACAAAAAAAACACATGACACACACACAAAAAGAAACATCGTTTGTGTAGTTGTGTAGAGTCTGTTTCACAAAACAAAACATCGCTGAACCAGTCGATCGAGTCGATGTTGATCAAACAATTGCACTATCATAAATAACTCAGAAACCAGCCCCAATCCTTCAAACACCTATATATATATATATATATACACTGGTTCCAGCAGCCAGTTCTATGCTTAAAGAGTTGCTGGAAGGCGGGACGACTTGGCAACACAAAGAACATCGCTGACTCCCGTTCTTTCATAGCTCAGTTTTCAGAGGGCATGTCTCCCAAACAACAGCTCTTTGCAAAGCTGTCTCCCAAATCATCATGAATGCAAAATCAGTTACATTTTAAAGTAGCCACAAACCACAAACTCATGTCACCCCCACCCCACATTTTACCACGCGTGTGCTAGGTCAGCCTTTCATGTTGGATCAATCTTGAACTGGCGCATCGATTGCATCTGGAGAAAAGGCGGCTTGAGACACTGGGAGATCAGGGATCGCATGTTTCGGCTCACTCAGCCACTACAGTACTGCCAGGTGTCATCGGGAACGTCATCACCTGCGGTCATCGATTGAACAAATAAAAGCTCTTTGCTCTTTGCAGAAGGAACCTGCCAAAGCAATTCTATGTGTTGCCTATGCATATTGAACACTCGGCGTTGAATCATATAACCAAACTGCGTATTGTTTTTTTGTTTGACACAGAAAATATCCAGTGGGGAAGCTGCGCTGTCAGCTGTCGGTCACTTCAAATCTTTGCGTACAAATGTGCCTTGAAACTTGTACCTTGGGCTAGGTGTGAAGCAAAGGGGGGCTTGCAACATGATGCCTCCCTCTCCAAGCGCAAGTTCATAGTATGAATTAAGGGAGCCTATACCATGCGATTAACCAGTGGTCGGGAAGAGCTTCCCCAAGCGATAGTCATACGTAGATTGGTTCTGCTGCAGAGAACAGCCGTCATAGACCTTGGGATCATCATCTCAGCTCGGCATAGACCGCCTTGAATTTCCTAGGGCTCCTGGCCCATATCCTCCGGTCCGGGGGTTAGACCCCCCTGGCACCCACCATAAACCCACTCTTCTCATAAGGCATAGGCCAGGAGCCCTAGGGATGATACAACCAACGGAAGGGGCGATGTCCGTACCATGGTCCCAAGGGGCGAGTGTCTGCGACAACACGAATCAATGGACAGACCTGGGTAGCAAGTGTTTTGTGGGACAAAGGATAGGCCCCCCTGGCCCCTGGCACTGGGCAGGGGCATATTCAATCACTTTTCCTAAAAGGAACACAATCCAAACATCTGCTAGCGGACGTCCAGAAACCTTCTGAAGATCGACTGTTTGTCGCCTTGTGCTACTGCCCGAAGAGCCGACTTACATCTTTCACGGTCAAGGAGGCCAAACCCAGTAAGACCAGCAGCACGAAGGCCAGCCTAGGCAGAGGGCTTGGAACATTGAACCAAGAAATCTGCCAACCTCTGACCGCACTGAACCCAAAAGACAAGGGTAGCGGGTAGGTAGTGGCTAGCGCGTGGGTAGAGCGATTGGACCGGTTCAATGTTTCTTCGATCCGCAATTAGCCACCTGCAGCCGCACCGCATGTAGGATCTTCCACACGTGGAACTAGTATCACAGAAGAAACATCGCTTGGGCTCGGAGGGACAATATGGTGTGTATCTAATTTTATAGCTTCTGGAACAAGGTATTCAGCACAGCACACTCAGGGCCCTCAACCAGTGCTTCGCGCCATAACCCACATCGACCTCTGAGCTCTAGAAACACTAAGAGGTCCTCAAACCAGCTCTTTGTCTGCAACAGACTGGTGCCAAATGGGAGAACATCATCTCCAGATCCAACCGACTGGCCCAAACTCGGTGCCCCTCCAGGCTGCTCGATGTCCTGCTTCTTTCGTTCGTCCACGCGCCTCCCGAGCACCTGGTGCCACTGGACCGTGAGCATCCTGAGATCTTCTTCCCGCAAGATCCCACAAGATCTAGTTGACCTACCCATCAACACCAGGCTGAAAAAGGATGAAAAAGTAGACTTGAACGGACTTCTCAGTGGAAGGCCCATCGTTGCCCAACACTGGGCAAGCCCACCCGATGCCTGCTCGACCAGGACGAAGAAGGCCTTGCCGCCATCCAAGGCGGGCAATGGCAACGCGTTGATGAACGCCTGGGCTGTGTGTGTCGAAGCTCGTTCCGAACGTGAATCTCTTTGGGTGTGTCGAACTGGTGTCGAATTCAGTGGCATGTCTCGACTAACCGACTGATTCGTGATGCATGATAAATCCTCACAATTCATGATGGCTGATACTTGTAGGTGCTGAGTCATCCAGCCTGACTTGGGGATAAGGAATGTTGAAAGAATATGTGTGATGGGACTCGGATACCCTGTAGCAAAGCCCAGTTGACTTGTGTGGTTGCTCAAGTTCACTTGTCTGATTGTCTTAAGCGCACAAAAAAGCGTCAAGGTATGTCAAGGTTATCTTACCCGCATTCAAAATTGAGGTTACCACCAAACATGCTGAGATATGCTGAGCATTCAACATCTCAACCCCCTGGGGCTCCGTTACGCTTAAGCCTCGAATCGCCCTCTAAGCCCCGCTGACCCTCG